AGGCCGGACTCGGTGCCAGACAGGAAGCCGGCTGACGTGGAAGTGCCGTCTCGCCGGGATTATGAATGGCCAGGCGTATTGCCGCAGCCACGCTCGGCCGCCGTCCTCTGCCCCGCACGCTCCTCGCCGTGCCCTGCCCTGGCCGAGGTAAGCACGGGAACCGACCTTCATTTCTCATATCGTAAAACAATTCAGAAGAGCGGCCGAAAACTTCGTCCCGTGAAGGTGAACTGTCTTGTTTGTTGCCAGACTGGCTCCAGAGGCACAGAAAGTGGCTGTCGTTAGTGCCAGGCCAGCCCTGCTTGCCGTAATTGGTCTGAGCCTTGCTCTCCCTATGAAGATCTCTCCTTTGATCGTAGAAAACCAGGATCATCTTGTACCGAGAAACTGAGCTAGTGCAGAACGGCCGTGGGAAGGTATTTGTGAAAGGAGGCGGGGGAAATTATGGAAAAAATGTGTGTGTGCGTCCATCTTTGCTTTTTTTGTTTAAGCTGTTTGTTTTGAAGGCACTTTGCTTCTCAGGCGTGCTCGGTAAATTTGGTTTTGACTTGAAGCGCTCAGTGCATCTGATATATTGTGGCTGCTTTATCAAACTGGCAGGAGTGGTTTTATGTCCTGTATTGGAAACTCTGGCCTGAGCGACAGCATTAGCGGTGAGTAAGGACCCTGAAAACGGCTCGGGGGGAAGGCGGGGGTTTGTTGCTCCCCTCTTCCTTCCGGGGAGCCATGGGGACGAGGTGACTGGCACGGACTCATCACCGAAGGGCTGCAATTACAAGCAGCCGCAGAAGGAGGTTTCGGCTGGACTCGGTGTGAATGCTGAGCAGGAACACCATATTGGTATCATCTCGCAGGACAGCAGCGTGCCTTCCCTAAAAGGAAAGCGGAGAAATCAATTCTTCTGAGAAACGCATTGCTCACTGGGGTTTGCTTAAGGGCTTCCTTACAGCGGGCTGTGAGCCGCCCCGGCGCTGGGGTCACTGGGAGGGAAGTGGCCGCGTGTCTGACCCCTCCCCAGCCTGCGGGAGCCATCGGATTGCGGCCGCGCATGAAACTGGACTTTTTTTTTTTTTTTTCCTTTTCCCTCTTTGAAAAAGGAAGCTCTTTTGCCTCAGTGCCTCCAAGCGCTCGTAGAAGTTGCAGAGACGGGCTGAGCAATTGCAAGAGCGATCTGTCGAGGCTAGAAATGCAGGTAGGAGCTTGCTGACTTGCTTTAGGGTTGGGTTTTGGTTTTTTTTTTTTCCCCCTGGCTGTCGGTAAAGCCCTGCACGGTGTTAGCGGCAGAGGGGAAGGCTGGGTGTCGCTCGGGGCAGGCACTGACGGAGCAGTCGTGGCACCCATGGCAGAGGGTTTCGGGCCATTCTGCCTCTACAGAGAAGGCAGGATCCAGCGGGAACGCTGCTCGTTCCTGGAAAACCTCAGGACGGCTGCGGCAGGTTGCAGGGGGAGGCAATTTCCAGGTGTTTTGGAGGAGGTGACTGTCTTTCCTTTTTTTCATACCCTCTCTGAGCAGCATGGAAAAGTAACCGAGAGCAGGGAAGCGACTGCCTGGGCTTCCTCTGCCCGGAGCCTGGCTTTAAAGTAAGGCAGCACCGCATGATCCACTGTTCCTGGCGAGGGAAGGGGAACGGCAAGGCCGTACGCGCAGCCCTGCCCTGGATTGCCGTCAGGAGAAATCGGCCTTAGAACTGGAGCTGGGCGAGCAGGGAGTGAGGGGAGAAAGTGAGTTTTGGGGAAGGGAAAGGAGGGCCAGGCGTGGGCAGCCCTGGCTGGGCAGGTGGGTTGCCTCCTTAACCAGCGTAGCACTGAGCTGCTCCTCTCGTGTCCTTGGGAACGGCGGCGAAGCTGGAGGTTTGTTTGTGCTCCGGACAGCCTGCCGCGGCGTGGGGCTTTCTGCAGCGGCTGTGTGATCGCGGAGGGATGGCCAAGGTCCTCCCGGAGCACCGCTGACGTGTGCTGTAATCTTGGCTTGGCTGGAAAGGAGGAGTAAACAGAATGTACTGCAGGTTTGTTTGTGAGGGATTGTTTTTTTATTATTTTTTTTTTCCTTTTCATCTTTGAAGCTTGCAAGTACCATTCAGGTGTTTTGCGTGTCCCATATCCTGGTTGCTCCTAACCTTTGCTTTCTCTTCTGTGCGAAGGCAGTGCCTTAGTGCTGCCTGAGCTGTGACTCCTGCCTGTGGAAGTAGGTGTTGTACGTGTGATATCATCTTCAAGCAATGTCAGGGATGCTTTTGGTCTCTCTGCCTTTTTTTTTTTTTTTCCCCCTACAGCTAAATGTTTCTTTTAGCTCAGTTGCAGTCAAAGACCATAATTAAATAGGCTGCATCTGCTTGAAGTCTTAGCTACTCATTTTGCTAATACCTTCAGACATGCTGAGTCGTCTGAGAGACGTTTGCTGCTGTGTCGAGCTCCCCAGTTCTCGTGGGTGAGGTCTCCGTAGGAAGAGGAAGTTGTTTGTAGGATGAATACTGCCTCAATACCAAATAAACCATATTAAAAAATCTCTCCACCCTGTTCATATGACAGTTTCTCCTGGAAAACGGTCAGTGTATGCTTCTTGAAAAACCAAATGGTTTTTCCCTGCAGTTTTGCCATTCAGTTTTATCTCATCCTCTTCTCCGTGGCGGGCCCTGCAGCCGCAGCCTGGGCGCTGCTCGAGGAACGCGTCCTTGTCCGGCACAAGGGATGGTGCCGGGCTGCAGTCACGGGCCAGCACGGATGCGAGAGCGGTCGCTGCGATCTCACAGATCTTACAGAAAAGAAGTAGGAACAGAGTCGTCCTGCACCGAGGATGCTGCCGGTCCTCCAGGGAGCTGGATGGAGGGCGATGCTCGTGCTTCTTTACGGCTTCTTTGTTTTAGAGGACATTTCTTTCTCCATCTCCAGTGTAAGGAAATCATTGCGTGCAAGTGCTTCTCTGGGACTGATTTCCTGCTGGAAAGAGCTGCAGACTCAGCACCTGCTCTCCACATTGTTGGTTACTTGGAGGGCTGGTCCTGCCTTCGCTCCGGACGTAGCATCGCGGCGGGGTGGGCGCAGTCCCCGGGTGCTTCCGCCCCACCGGGTCGCCGCAGCGTTTTGCCGCAGGATGTGGTGAGGCTGTGACACAGCTCTCGGTAACCAAAGCTGCTGCCTTGTGCTCGGATGTCCCTCCGCGCCGTTTGCTACTTCCTCTAACCGTGTCTGTGGTGTGATCAGACACCTCCTAAGGAGATGTTTTTTTCTGGGGGTTTTCTTCTTTTCTTTTTTTGACTCTCACAGGGTAGCTTACAGGTCGCAGCTGCTGTTTTAGCGGCGCTATGTGCAGCAAAAACATGCGTGCAGTGAATTCCCCTTGCAGCCCAGGATGAGCCTCACTGAACCTCGTTAAAATGCTTTTTGAGTTTCTCCCAACGCGTGTTGTGGCCCATGTTGCAACAGGAGTTTGGATCTCTCCGCTCCCGCACGGAAGCGGTCGCTGAGCCCGTTCCCGCAGGAAAAGCAGCGCTAGGAAATGTTGAGCCTGTTCTTAGTGGGACGAACTGAAGTGGTTTGGGTTTTCTTCCTCGTTGTAATTAAATAAGAAACCGAGAGGCCTTGGTTTAAGTCTTTTTAATCTTTCTCCAGAGAAGAAATGCTGATTAGCACTATGCAGCATCTGTTAGAGATAGGCTGAATTGCAGCAAAGGTAGTCTTGACCTTGAATTTGGGATCTTCTTGCCAACGTTTGAGGATACTATTTACCTATTTGAACGACACTATGGCTTCATATAAATCTAAGCGGATTTCTGCTTGGTGAAAGGGATTTGTTTGCTTGCTTATAAAATTATCGAAACTCTTATTTTGTCAGATACTGTAAGGCATCAGCTTTAGTTAATTTTTGTTACTTTATTTATTTCTCTGTCCAGCACATGTAAACTAATGGTTTCGGTACACACAGCTTTCTGCCTTAAGCTTCCATCAAAGAACAGCTTGACACAAATTATACGATGGGAGGGATGTGGGAACAAAGGAGGTATAATTAGCTACAGATAAACAGAGCTGTGTTTCTCGTCAGCATCCTTTCAGATCTTAACTTGCGTCTCACCCTCTTGGAGCTAATTCTTTTCCACAGACTGGAAGAGGAAGGCGAGCTTTCCCTGATCTTCAAGCCTTCAACATGAAGTGAGCTAAACTGAAATGAAAAATATGTTTATGGTCTGTCTGCACCTGCAGAAGAGGCTGTGGCTGCTCTTAGAGCTGGTGTTATTTCAGGATATTGTCTTTCCGGGTGCCTGAGCTGCGACTTCTTCTTCTTCTTGTTCCCCTCCGCCCTTTCATGTCACGTCTTTAGCACTACGGCAGCGCACACGGCTCCTGCTCGGTCGGCTGTTTGGTTGGAGTACATCTGGCAACAGATCTGAACTTTATTGCAGGTTGTCATAACCTTACCTTTTAGTAGGCTTGTTCCCAAAGAGGGGGGAGGAAGCGTAGGTGAAAAATCTGATCCAGGTAAAACTCAACTTTTCTTACCCTTCTTAACTATTTGGTGTATTGGAGCTGAATAGGTGGTGGAGTTTCTCCTTGTTTCTGTGGGGTTGGGGTCTGTTGGTGATGTTGGGGTGAACGCAGAGCGCGTAGGGAGACCTTGGCTCTTCGTTCAGCCCAGGTCACCTCTGCCAGGCGAGCCGCCGCTCTGCTGCAAGCTGGGCTGTAAAGAGAAGGGGGAGGAAAGAAAGCTGCCGTTGGCTTCCCCCGCTCCTCAGATCTGGGGCGAGGGCCCAGATGGTATCCCAGATCTCTTCCTATGGGATTTAGACAAGGTTTCCTGTTGAGAGAGCTGCTCCTAATCGCTGCCCTTCTGTGCTGCGTTGCAGATCAGGACCAGATGAGCAGAGGGAGGTTTCTGTGAAGATCAGAGTCACCCCAGCCCTGCCTCGGGAAGTGGCCCAGCAGCGCTGCATCTCCGGCTGTCATCGCTACGGACCTGGAAAAGAAAGAAGAGGAGAAGAAAAGATGTCCCATGCTTTAAAGCAAGTGTTCAATAAAGACAAAACCTTCCGGCCCAAGCGCAAGTTTGAGCCGGGGACTCAGCGGTTTGAGCTGCACAAGAAGGCTCAAGCCTCGCTCAACGCTGGCCTGGACTTGAAAGTTGCCGTCCAGCTGCCGCCGGGAGAGGAGCAGACCGACTGGGTGGCTGTGCACGTGGTGGACTTCTTCAACCGCATCAACCTGATCTACGGCACCATCAGTGACTATTGCACAGAGCAGTCCTGTCCCGTCATGTCGGGGGGACCCAAGTACGAGTACCGATGGCAGGACGAGCACAAGTACCGGAAACCCACGGCCCTGTCTGCTCCCCAGTACATGAACCTCCTGATGGACTGGATTGAGGTACAGATCAACAATGAGGACATCTTCCCCACTAATGTTGGTGAGTTGAGTTCCAGTTGTGACTGAGGGGAGGGAGACTGGTGCAGAGCCTTCTCCTTTGAGCCCTCAGGTCCCGTCTCTGTTCCAGGAGATGCTGTTGGCACAGGTCACCCTTGGAGCAGAGCTTTTGTACTGCTCAGAGGCAGGCTGGCAGTGTAGTAAGCTCTTCAGAAACGTCAGAGTTCTTCTGAAGTGCTGAAATACCCAGAGCTGTACCAGATCCCATTTGGAGTCATGGATACCTCAAGGAAAGCCAAGCTGAGCCTAGGCAACGAAAACAAGAGGCTGCTCTTTGAAAAGTCAGTCTCTGATGTGACTCTTGAGTAGTTCATGCTGGATGTGGTCTCCCGAAGGACAGCTCTTTCAGAGGTGATTGCTAGCTTGGGTTCAACGCGCGTGCTCTGCGTCGGCCTGGTGATGGTGGCCACCTTTCCATAATTAGGCTCTTTGTTATTACAGGCTGGCGTGAGCTGACTCTGCCCTTTCTAGCTCAGTGCTTCCTGGCGTGCACTCGGCTGGTTGTTGCAGCTGGGTGGGATGCTGACATGTGCACGGAGGGAGGGGCGGTGTTTCATCTATTGCCAGGGTGATGGAGATGAGAATTTGGCCTAAGACACCTAAATCTGCATATCCAAACGCAGCTTCGTGTACTGGCTTTGGGACAAAGATTGTTGGGGTTTTTGTTTATTTGGTGTTGAGTAAGATGTGAGAATTCAGTAAGGGTTAGGTAAATAGGATTGGCCCCATTCAGAGCTCCCATCTTCTGGGATGCAAAAGGCAAAATGCAGCAGAGCTCCCTCCCTCCCTCCTGCCCCGGCGTTTCTGCTGTCGAAGCTCCGATGGGGACGCAGTTGGCCTCTGTTTGGGATGCATCTGCCACACGAGCATCCACAGGGCTCCTCCACCCATGCCAAAATGCTGCTTAAACCTGGTGTTGAGCGGGCAGAGGCGAGGAGCAGGGCCATGAACAGCCAGTTCTACAGACAGCTGAAATACTGAAATCCCCCCAACCCGTTCCTCCTGTCACCCAAACGACTGCTGCGTTGCCTTTAGTTAGGAGTCTTCTGCAAGACTCCCCTGGAGCGGGGTGTTTGTTCTGTTTGGGGAGGCAAGACAGGTTTCCGACAGCAGGAGGGTTATGATTTGCCTTTTTTTTTTTTTTTTTAATTGTTGTTGTTTTCAGTTCAGCTTTTACCAGATTCCTCGCCCTTAACGCCGACTGTAATGCCGCAGTTCTTGCAGAGCACTGAAAGGGTTTAACTAATCCTCGTTCCTCCAGGAACAACCTGGGTGAACTTTAAACTGTAATAGTCTACTGAGATGGCTGGTTGGCCAGACCGCTCTGCTGCAGGGCCTCGGCTAAACACATCCCAAAGAACTAATGCCTTTAAAGAGGACCTGAATGTTTTTAATTTTTAACCAAAGAGCTGAAGACGTATCAAAATAAGAGATAACTGTGGGGAGTTAACAGCATTGACTCTTTCTCTTGGGAAGTTGCTTGGTCGTATCTGGTATTTTGTACTGTTTATATGAACGTGCCAAACGGGAGGGGAAGAAAACTCTATCAGAGTGAAACAGCTGCTGGGAATCTCTGAGGCTGGTCTCTTGCTTTCAGTCGCTAGCAGCGATCGATGGCATGCAGCACTTAAGAAATCTCTGCTTTGAAAAATCTGATCCAAACGGAAAGGAAGAAGGAGAGGGGAACTGGAAATTACCAGGGACAGAAGCTCTTTTGTCTCAATTTAACTGTTTTATCAATTTATTTTAGCCCCAAGGAACCAGTTTTAACTTGGCTGAAAGTTTCTCATGGTCGTGTCTTCCCTGCCAGGTACTCCCTTCCCCAAGAACTTCCTCCCGGTGGTGAAGAAGATTCTGTCCAGGCTTTTCCGGGTCTTTGTCCACGTCTACATCCACCATTTCGACAGGATCACCCAGATGGGGTCGGAAGCCCACGTGAACACCTGCTACAAGCACTTTTACTACTTTGTGAAAGAGTTCAATCTCATAGACACCAAGGAGCTGGAACCACTGGTGAGTGTCTGGGGAGGGGGCAGCTCAGGGTTGGTCTGTCGGGGTCTGCAGCCCACGCTGAAGAGGTGGGCTGGGAGTGGAAGAGTCACGGAGGTCTCTGGTACCTTCTCAGAACTGGTTGCCCAAATCCAGGACGTCGGTTGGCCTTGCAGTTTGACTGTCGGGAAACTGGGAGTCAGGACGTGCAGGCACGGCGGAGCGGGGTCCTTTGGGCATTGCTTGGGGGAAGTTGACTTGTTCTCCGGCAACCTCCTTGTGTTTTTAGCAGCCAACTTGCCTTGTTGGCGTGCGCGCCGTGAGCCCGGCACCGTTAGCTAAACCCCCTCCTCCCTGCGCTTACTTCCCATGCTGAAAAGCAAGGGCAACACCACCGCCTGCACGAGGAGTCCGGAGGATGGAGAACATGCCCTGTTAGACCTAGGGAGGTGGTGGTGGTGTTTCTAAAGCCATAAGCAACAGAGCAGACTTGCAGAGCCGTTGGGCAGTGGGAGGGTGTCCTGTGGTGTCTGGGAATGGGAGTGGTGGGGGAAACACGGACCTGCCCAAACTGGAGCTCTTGGTGTCACCACATGCCTGAGAAGGGCATTTACAACTAAACAAAGGTGATGTTTTTTTCATCCACACCCTCACCTGGCAATCTGGATCTTCATTCATGGTCCCTTGTCTTTTCTGTCCCTTTGACAGAAGGAAATGACCTCCCGGATGTGCCACTGAGATCAGAGCTTCCTGCTCCCACCTCGGCGTCTCTTCCGAGGACTCCGAATCCCACACCTGTATTGGAGACGTGATGCAAGGGGAGAACAGGGACGTTTTGTTAAAGAAATCTATATATTTTTAATGAGTTTCAATGTAAAACTGTGATATTGCGGGAATATTTTTTTAAAGATGCTCTAGATAAACTAGTTTTTTATAGTAATTTCTATAAAAAAAAAAAAAAATATTTTGGGCCACTTGGTGGAAACGCTCACTCTTTGAAGAGGGCAGAGCCACCCTGGACTGCCTTTTCCCCGTGCCCTCGCTGCAGCGGCACCAAGTGAGCTGAGCCAGATGCTTCAGAGAGAGCCACATCGTGTAGCTGCTGCTGCCATGGAAGCGGTACTTCCCTCCGGACACCCATTTCTCACCCGTGAAGGGAGGTTACGTGGGGATTGGGGAAGAAATGCTGGTGTCAGTGGATCCGCTGGGGTGCTATTTGGTTCCAGCACCTCTTCCACTGCCTGTGAGTCCAGTTTTTGAACGGAGCTGCTTTTGTGCTCACCCTCCCCTTGGCATCCTGTCCCCAAGGCTTGGCCCTCCTTGCTTTCCCTCTGAAAGAAGTTGGACTTGGGTTTCTTCCGTGGCTCGACCAGCGCTGCCACTGCTAATGGAGTCTGCGCTGCTGTTGTGAATCTGCTCTTGCGTCTTACGCCAGCTCTGAGCTGAGCTCCCCACGCGCAGCCCAGCTGCGGCTCCGGGTGCTCAGTCCCCACGGAGGACGGGGATCTGCGCTGGCAGCGTTAGGCCAAGCAGACCTGTGCCTGGTGGGAAGGAGCAGAGGGAAGGCTCTGGGAGAGGCGTGGGGATTTCTTCTTCTCCAACACACCTGCGCTTCCCCATCTCCTTGTGGTACGCTGGCCCTGCCGAGAAGGATCTGGGCTGCTTGCCCTCTGGCCTCGCTGGCTGCGACATGCGGATCATTTTCTGCTTCCCATTAGGGTACAGAGCCTTCTCCCTCTTCCCAAGCAGCATATCCCCGCTCAGCTGCATGCATCTCATATCCAAAGTCTCTGGTGTGCAGCCAAGAGGCCGCCAGCCTCGCCTGCTGCTCGCACAAGCAACTCCGCTGCGCCGTGAAGGCTTTGCAGTGCCCCCGAGTAGGTAGGTCGGTCTACCTAGGAGTTGGGGGAGTTGGGGAGCAGGGTTTACAGTAAGAGAAACGGTTTCTATGAACAGTGACCAAACTGTACAACTAACCACTTCTTCCTTACAAAGTCTTTCTGTGTCCTGGAATCTCTGTACATATGTGACTCTCGTTTCTTGTACTATCGTTAGGACACTCGTACAAATACCACTATAGTTCTCTGAAATGGAACCAATAAATTATGTTGTATTTACATAGCACGCTCCGATTGCTAAATGTCTCGTGATTACGCGTTCGTCAGAGGCTTTCTGTCAGCAAAACAAACACGGTGTGTTTGGACTCCTCGGGAAGCGTGCTGGAGAGCTGTTTCCTACAGTTGCTAAAAGCTCTTGGGTGTGCGCTCCTGGCTCGGCTGCCGTAAGGTTTGATTCCTCCTGCTCTCCAGGTGCCAGGTCCAAGCTGCTCCGAGCCCCACGCTCGTTCCCAGGGCTGTGGGGCAGAGCGGGCGGGTGCTGGAGCACAACGAGCAGGCTGGGGTTGTCCTGACTTGTCTCTGCAATGTCCCTCTACCCAAGGGCTGAGCTGTTCTCCCAGCTCTAAAACTTGGGTGGATGTGGGCAGGGGAGCTGAGTCCAGGCTTTTACCACCTTGCTGACGGGCTCTTTGCTGCTGCTGAAAGGAGCCCTGGGCATCGCCTTCACCGCTGACCGACTGGTTTGGCTGACGCTCTGCATTCGGGCTCTGCAGGTGATTTTTTTCCTGGGCAGGAGGGGACTGCAGCCGTCGCTCCTGCCTCTGCCAGACCTCCCTGCAGCACCGGGTCCTGCCCACTCCCCTTGCATGGTGGAGGTGCTGGGCCCTCCCAAGCACCCTCTGGCCCCTCTCCCCGTGTTTTGCGGGTGCAGCTCAGCTGGAGCTGCGTCCCCCCGCAGCCGGGTGCTGTTAGAGGGTGCAGCGTGGCCGTGGAGCTGGGACCCAGCGCTGCCTGGGAGAGGGTGCAGCCACCCCCCCTGCCCCAGCCCCTGGCGAGCTCCGGGAGCGAGGCCGGATTCTGTGCGGGAGCAGGGAAGGGCACAACCCCGCAGGGACCGGAGCGGCTGGGTTGTGGGGCTGTGGGTGGGCGATGAGTGGTGTGAGGTCAGCTCGCATCGCTCTTCATCCGCTTTCCCTTTCACGTCGACCTCGGATGCCGTGAGCGCCATGTGCGGGGGCGTGCGGCACCCATCCGGCTGTCACCCGTGGGGCTGCACGGTGCTGCCTTCCGCTGCCCTTTTTTGGGGGGAAGGATCTGATCTGGCTGCTTCCACATGAGACCGGCTCAGCCAAGGGAGGAGGAGGAGGAGGAGGAAAAGCCCCTTTAAGGGAGAAGAGCTGGAGGTGCCGTCGCAGCTGAGCCCGTCCTCTGCAGCGTGCGGCAGTGCAGGATGGTGCCCCGGCAGGGTTGCAGAGCGACCGCAGCCGGTGGC